TTAAGATACGCAATTTCAGCTATGTTAATTGTATAGCTGAAGTTGAAATACCTTAACTTGACTTTTGGTGCTGTCCACGCTTCAGGAAGTCAAAGGGAGAACACTCTCCCTTTGACTTCCCTTACTCCTCATGGAAGCAGGACTACCGGCATTGACCGGAGTGCCTCTCTCAGTTCAAATTAGAGTGTCATCAATAGACCCACTAATTCGAACCCTGAAAGATCAACAGTGGCAGCTTCGATCTTCTCTGTAGTATAGTCTACCCTAAAGGTTCAAGAAAGACCAAGTCACCTGAATTAGGGTAGACATTTTTAAAAAGGCTTTGAACAAAATAGACAAGTCAGACTGAACACTTTATCAAAGTGTTGGTGCTTTAAACTACCATGCTGGAGACAGGTTCATTTCTACATATGATCTCCCGACGTGCTGGCTGGGATGGCTAAGAAACTCACTAGCTGGAATGTATGCAATGCTTGTCATCACAGAAAACAAGTTGTCTGATGGATTAAGATTTGCATTAATTGACTTAGAGGAAGTCCTAGCTCACCTCAGCTGGCAGCGAGATCAGCAGGCGAGAAATTGCATGAGATAATTCGAAGGGTTTTCAAGCTCTGAAAAAGATACAGAAGCCCCAATATGAACACAAGGAAATATGAGTGTAGTAAGTTGTGTCGTGTGATGGGATGCATTAGGCATTTGTTCTCCTCTGTCTTGGCATACCCCATCCTCTAAAACTGTGCTTTTGGTAGAAAAGAGCAACGAGCTTGGATCTGCAGGGGACTCCCAGGATCAGCTAGTGGCAGAACCAGTGAGATTTAGTTCTCCAGCTGCTAGAAGGGCTGGGAGGAGGCAGAAGCCAATCAGGACAGGACTGGCCAGGTAAAAAGGATTACCTGCCTTTTTTCAAATGCTGGTTCTGGGTGAGACTGTGGTAGGCCAGGCTGACAAGCTGTCAGCGGGCAATCATTCCCTGTCTTAAACTTAGATGCCTGGCCTACTCAGGGGCCAGAGAGCATTGTGGTCAGATCTGTGAAGGGCTATCTTTTCATATTATAGCCCCTAATGCCTAGGTGGGCTAACTGTTTTTCTGTAAAGGTGAGCTTTGTCCATAGGACACCCTGGCACCGGCAAGCCCATGTCAACTTTATTTGGAAAATGCCGCCATTTCCTTCATATGCCTGACTTCCAGCCCTAGCACTGATGCAACCATGTTACAACTGCAGCAGAGAAACTTAAACTCTCTTTTACAAATGAATCTCAATCGTCTTTTCTCACTGTTCCTGGCTCTGGGCTATGAAAATCCATCACGAATCAGCAGGCTGCCATAAGACAGTGTTTGGAATCAGCTCAAGAACTTGAGAGGTGGTTCCCTTTCAGTCGATGCTGAACCATTGTGCAGCTGGAAGGGCCATTATTCAGATACAAAGCCACAATCAATGTTCTGACCGCCTACGATCCCATTGCACTTCTTTTAAGAATATTCTCCACGTAGAAACTGAAGTTCAGTTTTGATAATTACTAGAAGTGGTCCAAAGGTTTGAATGAAATATGTTTTCCACTGGAAAAATTGCCTTTATTAAGAATTATTTTGTGTGAGTTTACTTCCGCAATATCCACTTTTTCCGTTTTTTTAACAAGTTATGGTGTTTGGCTTATTGTTTTTCCTTTTCCCCGTCTCCTATTTATCCCCTCCTTTTCAGGGGCAACGTGAGGAGAAAAGAAACAAAAAAGCAGAAGCTAAAAATAGGAAGAAGGTGGGGTATTAGAGAACCTCCCGCCCCGAACATTTCAAAACTAAATATTTTAATTTTTTAATGAAAAATAAAGTAAACTTTGAATTGTGCTGTTTTTAAATCTGGACCAATAATGACTTTAAAACTTTCCCCAAATAATATTTTGCACTTTTTAACCAGCTCTAGAGATTACACTTAGCTCACCAAAATTCCCTTTGCAGCTTCTCTGAAAATATCCACTCAATGTACAGCTGGAGTCAAAAAAGCAAACAGAATGTTAGGAATCATTTAAAAAGGGATTGAGAATACATAATAAAATTATACCTCTGTATAAATCCATGGCATGTTTACATCTTGAATACTGCATATAGATGTGGTCACCTCATCTAAAAAAAGATATATTGACATTGGAAAATGTTCAGAAAAGGGCAACCAAAATGATTAGGGCCTTGGAATAGGTGCCATATCAAGAGAGATTAAACAGACTGGGAATTTTCAGCTTAGAAAAGAGGAGACCAAGGTGGGATATGATAGAGGTCTATAAAATCATGAGTGGTGTGGAGAAAGTGAATAAGGAAAAGTGATTTCCTTGTTCCCATAACATAAGAGCTAGGGGTCACCAAATAAAATTAATAGGTAGCAGGTTTAAAACAAAAGGAAGTATTTCTTCATGCAGTGCATAGTCAACCTGTGGAATTCCTTGCCAGAGGATGTTGTGAAGACAAGGACTTTAACAGGGTTCAAAAAAGAACTAAATAAATTCATGGAGGTTAGGTCCATCAATACTTATTAGCCATAATGGGTAGGAATAGTGTCCCTTGCCTGTGTTTGTCAGGAGCTGGAAATGGATGACAGGAGAGGGATCACTCCTCCTGATTACCTGTTTCTGTCCATTCCTTCTGGGGCATCTGGTCATTGGCCATTGTTGGAAGACAGGATGCTGGATTAGAGAGACCTTTGGTCTGACCCAGTATGGCTGTTCTTAAGTGCTTTGATTAGTGAGTCTTCATTGGAGACAAAAAGGTGGTTCCCATACATATATTGATCTTTAGGGCATGTCTAGACTAGATTTAAAAAAAAACTGCCCTTTTTTTCGAAAAAACGTCACCTGCGTCCACACTACAATCATATTCTTTCAAAATTAAATCAAAAGAATGCAGGGTTTTTTTCGACATTGGTAAACCTCAAATTACATGGAAGAACACCTTTTTCGAAAGAGGTCTTTCGAAAAAAGGCATGTGTAGATGCAGTACAAGGACATTTTTGGAACAATGAGGCAATCAAAAAAAGCACAGGTACCCTGATGGCCATTCTGTGAATAGTAATCAGGGATTTCTTTTGAGAGAGTGTCCATGCAGGCTCGACACTCTCTTTCAAAAAAGCAGATTGCTTTTTCAATCCAGTTTTGAGGTGTGGATGCTCTCTTTCAAAAGAAACACTCTTGAGTGGTTATACTTGACAGGCAAGTGAAGTAAAGCATTTACTATTACTTCAAATGTCTCAAATATTTTTTGTTGAATCATAATAGCAAGTTGGCAACAGCTATTACATGATACCAGAACAAAACTACAAGTAAGAATGGTATTATGAACTTGGGGACGGGGCGAGGGGGAAAGACAAACTAAAGCCTCCAGGAAAGTTGTGTTTGAAGGAAATGCAGGAGAAAACTGGAAAAGTGGAAGCAAAGACCAGTACCTATAGTGCAGACAAAGATGAATGGCTGCAAACAGCATTACTTCTTCATGAGGCACTTTAAAGCAAAAGCATTTAAGAAGCATTCAATTTGATGCAAGAGATAAAGAAAAAATACAGATCTTAAAGAATAAGTTGGGGTCATACTGTGCAGCATGAAAAAATGTCACACATGAGAGTCACAGATTTTCCCCAGAAGTCAAAAAGATGGGGGAAATATACACCAATACATGACTCATTTACAACTGGCAGTTACACAATCTCATGAATTTGGAGAAGTGTGTGAATTCCTCATTAAAGACTGCATTGTAAATTGTGCTGTATCAGACTCAGTCAGGCTAGGTTATTGAGGAGACTAATTTAACCCTTACGCATACTGTGGACATATGTTGGGTGAAAAAATGATAGCAAAATGGCTGAGTGAACTGGAAAACCAGGTGCATACTTTGCAGTGTAAGTCTGCCTTTAGTAAGTCCCCAGACATATAGTCATGCACTACTAGAGGCTCATCCTGCTGCTAAAAAAAGCCTGTGATCAAGAGAAGCCAGTTTAAAGCAAACAAAAGGAAGTACTTTTTCACAAAATGCACATTCAACCTGTGGAATGTGTTAGCAAAGGTTGTTGTGCAGGCCAAAAATATAACTGGGTTAAAACAGAATTAGCTATATTTATGGAAGATAGATCAATCTGTGGCAATTAGTCAAGGTGGTAACAGACACAACTCCATGATCTGGTTGCCTCTGATTTGATGGCTAGATGCTGAGATGGATGAATCACTGGGTGATTACATCTTCTGTTTCATTCTCTTTGAAGCATTGGGCATTGGCTGCTGTCAGAACAGAGGATACAAGATTGGCCAGTTTTCCAGGATGACCATTTTTTATGTTGCTGTTTTCTAAGTGGTCATTTCAAATACAGGGAAAACTGAATTCCTGTCACTGCATCTAAAGGCAGAGTAACCTGTAAGATACAGAAAATTATTCATGTTAGAGTTAAGGATCTTAAATTAGGTTCATAAAATGTCTATGATAGTAGGGACCAAAATGATCCATAATGTTGTATATGGGAAACATTGTGTAGTGAGAAATATAAAATAAGCAACTTTGGGTTTACTTTGGTGAAGTTGTGTGGGATTTTTCATACAGTTATGCCTGCATTTATTCCCCTGCTTGTGGAGCTGTTTTCTTTTTGCTGTGGCTCACTGCCTAGCATGCACAATGCAGCAAATCCTCACACAGAGTTATATATTTTTTTTCTTGACAATTAGGTTTGATTTTGGGTGGGTTTCCTGCAGAATCTATCTGTACCAAATTATATATTTAATATTACTTAAGAAGTCTCCAATATCTTTTTTTATGATACCAAGTTGACAGCAGCTATTATAATAAGGTTCTTGCCAGCATATTACCAGCAAATAATAGGATAGAGCCATGTTCTTCCCTCTCTTACTTCCTGTTTTATTCAGTGGGAGTTCCCTTTCCTCCCTACCCACTCTGGTCTTTTGTGATGCAATCAAATCAGCAAGTTCCTCTGAGTAGACTTATTTTTGTTAGACTGAGTGGCCCCTTTGAGAAAAGTAGTTGTGTTCATAAAAAGATCCGTCAATAGAATGACATAGACTAACTGTAGCCTTTTAAGAATATTTTGTTATCTTGGTAACAGTAATCTGAAGCCTTTTGTGTCAAAGTATTTGAAATCTACTTAGTTAATGAATGAGGGGAGCAAACAGAAGTTTGAGAGGCAAATCACCCGATGAAGAAAGAGCAAGAACTAAATCTTGGGGTGAGTGAGCTTGTTTGTCTGTTTCGTTTCTCTTTTGGTTTGCTTAAAATTTACAGTGTGGCCTGTTGGGGATTGTATAGGAACAGGAGGCGGTCACCCACCAGCTGCTAGCAGAGTGTGCTCTAGTAAGACTTGATCCTTTTCTACCTTGACCCTTGATCTTCCTTGTGACTGACTTTCCCTTGGTGTGTTGACAATGGGACGAGAACTGACCTTGGAGAGAAAACTTAATGGGTACAGCAAATGGGTGTTTGAGAGGAAAGAAAAAGAATAAAATGCTTTGAAAAGGCCACATTGTCAGTGTCAACACTGCTTTTGGCTCCTGCACCTATGTCCTGATAGAGACTCTGACCATAGATGCCGCTACCCAGGTTCTGGTGTGGATTTGCAGAGACTGTGGCCTGATTTCTCCATCATAGAAAGCCAGGCATATTCATATCTCAGAGCAACAAAAACATATACCCACATATACTGTAGTGCATACATAGTCTAATAGCCTGGGATCCAAAGGGCTACAACAACACTTCATACAGTCTGTATTGTTTGTTAAGCATCAGCAACTGGGCTATCAACAACCATTGTCTCTCTTCCCACAAACAGCCATCTAAGAGTGAGTTAACTCTTTGCACCTATGTAGTGAGAGAGTCCCTACTGCTAAAATCTCTCAGGAAGCAGATTGGAGAGGTAGCTAAACTGTGGAGCATCAGTGCACAGGAGGAATTCATTCAAGATTTGCATATAGACATGTGAATATATGGTTAAGGAGGTAGTCCAACTGGAGAGAAATGCAGTTGCTCCGTGGGGGGAGGGGGGGAGTGGAGGGAGAGCAGGACTACTTCACAGAAAGGAAGCTGGATGCTGATTACTTCTGGCAGTTGGCAGTGCTCCACTCCTGCACCCAGTCTGCCCTCCATTGAGATAAATAGTCTGTATGCTGTGTGGCAATGGGGAGAGAATTTCACAAGGATGGAAGAGGAGAAAGAGCCATGTACCCCAAGGTAGGAAGGATCTTAACGTAGGGCAATCCAGCAGGAACAAAAGAGGTAATGCAGAGGGGAAATCAGTATTAGCATAGAGGGGTATAGCTTGTTCAGGAAGGACAGGCAGGTCAAAAGGGAAGAAGTTTTGTCTTGTGTATCAAAAATGCATACACTTGCACTGAAGTTGAGATAGAAGGCGGCGACAGACCTGATGAAAGTCTTTGGGTAAGAATAAAAGATATGGAAAACAAGGGTGATATCCCGGTGGGAATTTCCTAAGAAGAAGAGGCGGGAGAGGGTTTTTTTTTTAAATAACTAACAAAATGATGCCCTCGTAGCCAAAAAGACTAACGGCATATTGAGTTGCATTAGTAGAAGCATTTCCAACAGGTCTAGGGAAGTGATTATTCTCCCTGTATTTGGCACTGGTCAGGTCACATCGGCAGTATTGTGTCCAATTCTGGTGCCCCCCCCCCATTACAGAAAGGATGTGGACACATAGTAAAAAGTCCAGTAGAGGACAACACAAATGATTAGGGGTCTGGAACACATAACTTATGAGGAGGTGCTGAGGGATTTGTGCTTATTTAGTCTACAGAAGAAAGGACGGAGAGGGGATTTGATAGCAGCCTTCAACTATCTGAAGGGAGATTCTTAAGAGGATGGAGAGAGGCTATTCTCAGTGGTGACAGATGACAGAATGAGGAGTAATGGTCTTGAGTTGCAGTGGGGAAGGTCTAGGTTGGGTATTGTGGGAAAATTATTTCACTTGGAGGGTGGTGAAGCACTGAAATGGGTTACCTAGGGAGGTGGTGGGATCTGCATCTAGAGGTTTTAAAGTCCCAGATTAACAAAGCCCTAACTGGGATGGTTTAGTTGGGGGTTGGACTCGATGATCCCCTTAGTTGGAAGAAACCTCTATGATTCTATGACAGACACAGAGCCCTATCTAAGAGGAGAGTTTGAAAAATGGGTTTATTTAATTTGGACAAGGCTGTGGAGAGAGATAACTCTTCAAGTATGTAAAAGGTTGAATTTATAAATAGGAGAGTGATTAAATGTTCTCCTTAACTACTGAGGACAGGACAAGAAATAGTGTTCTTAAATTACATTGAGAGAAATTCAGGTATAACATTAGGAAAAACTTTCCAAATGTAAGAGTAATTAACAGTAGAACTAATTACCTAGCGAGGCTGTGGATTGCTGTCATTTGGGGTCTGAAGAAGAGTTTAGATAGGCACCTGTCATGTATGGTCTTGATAATACTTAGTCTTGCCTCAGTGCAGAGCACTGGACTAGGTAGCCTATTGAGCTCTCTTCAAGTCCTATATTTGTACAATTTCTATTTGTAATCTAATACTACCTAATGGTGAGTTTGGGCCCCATGTTTGCTAAATGCTATAGAATCAGTAAGGCTATGTCTACGCTACAGATAAGATTGAAGCAGCCACAGTCGATCTTCCGGGGTTTGAATTAGCGGATCTAGTGAAGACATGCTAATTTGAACTCTCCCGTCAATCCCTGTAGCCCTGCTTCTACAAGGAATAAGGGAAGTCAAAGGGAGAGTGTGCTCCCGTCAACTTCCTGCAGTGTGGATGGCACCAAAATTCAACTTGAGATACTTCAACTTATGCTATGCAATTAACGTAGCTGAAGTTGCATATCTTAATTCAAACTTATCCCCTAATGTATCCCCTGCTCCCAAAGAAATTACAGTCTAAATAGGTAAAATGCACTAGCTGAGGGGTTTCCCAGGGTTCTTGAAGATATGCAAGAAAAAATGGAATCAAAGCTTCAGACACTCAAGAATTGTAGCCAGTTGTAGTTAGCTAGTGCTCAGCTTGGGCTCAGCTGTCAAATCTTTTTGTCCTTTGTCCCTGCCGCTTTCTGGAACCTCAGTCCTGGGCAAGCTCACTGTTCCCCACTGGTGCTGTGCTTACTATCAGAGTCTTCTCTGATTCTAATTACCTTTGGTTCATGGTGCTGGTTGTCCAGCTACAGGGAACTGAGGGAGAGCAGATATCTCAGTCAGAGCTGCAGTACCTGTCTGCCCTAAGTGTATGGGAGAGTCAAATGGAGCACATAGCTCTCCTAGTTAGTGGTGTCCTCTCCTTTTAAGCAAACTTCTCTTTGTAGCCAGCTTCACCTTTTACAGCTCCCCTTTCTCAGGTAGAGCATGCTCTGCATGTGGCCATATTTGTAGCTACATGAATGTGTGGTATTCAGGCTTGCTCTCAGTGGGATGAGTCCATGGCCCATCAAGCCAATTCCACAGGCAGGACAGTATATTTTCCTTCATTTTGGAGAATCTACTTCACAGAAAATCCTACTTGCTATAGGGGGCCAAACACTTGGGAGTCTGCACTATATGAGAATTTATCATTTATAATTAATCATAGCCACCTTATTAAAGACACAGAAGCTAATAGAACAGCTGCTTTGATTCTACCATATAGACAGATAGATATAGCCTAAATCCATTGCTGTCTGCATGGTATGGCATCCTACTCACAAGTTTGTAAGATCCAAGTACAAGGCAGTTAGAGATGAATCTGCGTAATATGTATTAGCTGTGCTGAAAGCAATTGCTTCTTTGGGACAAGCATAGGTACAGTAACAGCACTCAGGAGCAAAGAACAGATGAATGATCCACCTATTCTGTGTTTGATGGGTGTCTAGTGTCACTTGCTTTGAGGGAGGATGGAAGCCCCAATTCTTCCTGATTCCAACTAATAATCGTTTAATAACCCATACGATATGAAGTTATCCCAGCTAATGTCACTATGGTTACATTCTTTTATATATAGATATATATCTTGCTAGGCTATTTGTTGAAATAATATCTAGAGGCCCAACATCCCACGAATTAATGATATATTGTATTCACATGTATTTTACGATATTCATTTTAAATAGGTTGCCTTTTAGATTCAGGAGCTCCCTTATTCTTACGTTATGGGAGAGGATAAATAATTGTTCCTGCCTCATCTGCTCTTTCTCATTCATTAATCTGAGCATAGGCTTAGTCTTTTTAACTCCTCCTCACAGGAAGTCCTCTGTCCCACAGTGGGCCTCATCATTTTTTGTTGCCATTCTTCGGACCTTTTTTTTATTTTTGCGATGTCTAGTTCTGCACATAGCTCCTGACACCTGTACATTGCTGTTCACCCACTTCTGGGTTATCATTCCCTTACCATGGAGATCACCAAATCTAGAAGATTTGCAAATAACTAGAAGATTTACTTGGTGTTGCTTGGGTCCTTAACTCAATTTTTGTTTTTCTTCATTTAAATCATTGCTCTGGGCAGAGGCTGGGGATGATGAGTTGAATATACAGGCTTCCCTGGGGACAGAGGACTACCCCATCCCCCTCTCACCACAGTAGTTTGGGGGCAAGTGAGAAGAGCCTCTCCATGGCTGCTTCAGCTCCAGTGGGCATAACCTAGAGAAGGGCTCATGTCCCTTAGCTGGAACAGATCCAGGTTCTCTGCTCCCCGTAATACCTTTCCATAGTGACGAATGCAGAAAACTGTACTTCCCCCCCCCATTCCCTGATGAAGAGGAACAGCCAGCAATGATCCCATAAGAATGAGGGGAGCTGTGCCCCCCCCATGTCCCCTAAAGAGTACCTGGGAGATGGGTGGCTTGGGTCTGGGACAGTCTCAGATGGGGAGGGGGCATGGCATGACCCCAGACAGCTCCTTTCACTTGCTTGGTGGTTCGGTCTCTTTTCTGTATGGTTTTATGCATTCCCAAACTCTCTCAAATATATAATAGATTCTCTAGAGACTTAAAACTGGCACCTCTTTGTTTGACTCATTGCAAAGCACTTCGTGATTCTTTGTATAAAAGGTGATGTACTGTATAGAAGCGAGAGCTGAGCAGGCGAGGAAAAGATTTGATCCAGCCACAAGATGTGCTGCCTTCCACCAGCATATCTCCTGTTCAGAGTCTGTAGTGGTGGGTGGGAAGTCCATCAAGAGTGTTCCACAAACCTTTTTAGCAGAGCATCATGGAGCT